GCGCATTGGAATAGAAACAGAGACTCGTTACATTGTTCGGTTAACCTGGCGCCGTTTTCCTCGTACGTGTACAATTTTCCACCGCCCACCGCCCGCTTGTTTCTATGAACTATATCGTCGCGATAACAGTACGCGTTTCATTCGCTCGGAGGAGGCTGCACCGAGGAGTACCTGTGTTGTTCATTCGACGCCGCGTACACGCGGGCACCTTTATGCTTCGCGAAACTCGCGAAACGTTTTCTCACGGAACGGGATCCTGTTTTCTCCTGTCAACGAGCAACCCCAGCCGGAAGGTGTGTAATAAATCTCTGACAAGGATGAGAACCCTCGTTAGAAACGACCGGTGCTAGCTTCTTTCTCCTTTCTCGAACTGAAGAGGAAATTACTTTTCTTTTTATTTCAAAAGCGAGATTTCCTGTCACCGACTGATGCCTCGAAGAATGCGAATTTCCCGCTTCTATAGCTTGACTGACAGTCAAGGCATGACGGGTTCAGTTCATGATTGCCAGTCGGCTAGACTTCGCACTTATCGAGCTTCAAACGCGTGTAAATTGAAAACAACGGCTGTTGACCCTAGATTCTCTGTTCGATTATAGGATTCGACGTCGATGGAGCGTTCTGACAGCTTGCGATGTGGACGCGATTAGAAGGCACGTCTAACAGAATTCCCCAGCGACGTTTAACTTGTACTTTGTTCAATTCTATATAATACTTTCATACTAAAAAATTATTAGCTAGCTTGTAAAAGCGATAGATTTTTACGATATACAATTTCAAGTTTTTGGAAGTGTAATTTCATTAAATTAGTTATCGATTAATTAATATCGTCGTAACGAACAGATAAATGCTAAAACCCTCTGTATTCTATTCGTTCAACCATAATGATCTGATAATTGAATTTTAAACGTACGAATACGTTCGTTAAATTCAAATCAATTGTTCTAATTCATCGCAAAAATCCATTACGTTAAACGTTAAAAAATATGCTTGCTGAAGTAATGTAGGAAGCTATAATGAAATTGCATTTCGAAATTACAAACGGAGATAAAGGCAGAATCAGCGAACGATGCGTTTTAATTAACCCAATTCCGGAAATTACAAACGAGGTAGACCCGGTGTATCCTGTTGTTTTTCAAACGGTCCACGATCTCCGCTGTTCTGTTCGTCGATTTTCATTAGCGCACTCTTGCCTGGCAAAATTTCTATGAAACGGAACTGGGATGCACCTAAAAGTACACGGCGGATGTTGTTGCTTCTAGGCCCTCTTCCACTGTACATACGGCTGGGCAGCATTAAAATAAACGAGCGTTGAACGTGTTAATGGGCTTCTTATGGGAATTACGACGACCTTAAGTTAACAATGGCCCACTACGGTTGAGTAATATATCCCTAACTGTTTCTCAGTCTGCGAACTTTAATACCGAGACGAACGATTACTTACACTAACTTCGTTTAACTTCATCAAGATTCTTTTCTGATAAATTCCTATAAAAAAAACTACATTCTATTTGATCGATTTCTAGCAAAAAGTTTGAATCGCACTTCTATTATCTCGTATAAGCCTAGCATGGAAGCAGTTATCGTTTAGGATCTATCTTTGAAGATTTTGGCTGACTACGATCCACAAGTTTCACTGACTCCTGCCACGAGTCCATAAAATCTCGAATGTATTTCGCGAACGCAGCAGAAAGGAATTGGTTGGTGGTCCCAGTCATTATGGGGGGGAGAGCCGTTGGAAACTACTTTCTAGTCTCGAAAAATTTCATGGAAATCGTTTTCTTCTTCTGCCTTTAACGGTGAAAGTTCTTCGCGATACGGGGTTCGTTTATGCCCTCCGACTCTTTCCTATGATTCCTCTTCTTTCGTTCGCTTAATGGCGGTATAATAGGTTGAAAATTCTGAACAGACACGGCAAGGGAAATCTAAGTTTCAGCGAAACAAAGCGAAGCATTCAATTCAAAAGTTCATTCTTAATATCCTCTTGTAATTAAAACGTCTTAACTCTTTAAACGCTACGAACGAAATACTATTTTACAAATTCATTTAGTTTATAATTTCTAAACAAAAAGAAATTAAATATTCTGGATGAATATAGATGGATTTCAATTTAAATGATATCAATGAATGGGGGTGTATATTACTTGCGGATGGTATAAATGGAGTAACGAATACGGGAAAATGAAGAACACTCGATACTAACGATAAAAGGATTGTTTAAAGTTTGTCTGGTATACTGTCGATGGTATCACCAGTCATAACATATTTGCAATAATTGAAACATCCGTGCAATTAGTATCTCGTTAACGGGGATATTGAATCTCGTGTACGGATTAAATTACACTCACAGCGTTGTTTAATTAATGACCAAACTACTCCACGTACTAACGTAAACCTGACAAAAACCTCGATAAACGATATTACGTTGAAACCACGAATCCCTCAAATTATGGTTAGAGATATTTCACGTTTCAAAAGTCAATGCAACGTGCCAATATATTTGATAATAATGATTCTAGTGGTGAAACATTCATGATATCCGTGAATTCGATAGAAATTATAATTGTTTATTTCATTAGCAGGTTCATTTATTATTATAATTAGGAAACAGAGTTAATTTGCTATTCAAGTGAATAACACCTAATAATGTATTCATTGGCAAACCTTTGTATTTTATTATACTAAAACATTAATTGGAAAATGCGTTCATGAATTAAACTTCTTTACATTGAACGCTCGAACGACGGACCGTGGAGAGAGCCCCAATTTTAATTTAATATCCCCCCAATACATAAAACTCTTTCGTTTAAAACTTATATAATTAACTTTAAGTTAATAACACCTAGAAATCTGATTAATTATTCATGATATATTTATTTCGAATACATTTTGAGGAGTTGAGATTGCTTGTATAATATTACTTAGTCAAGTTAGTTTATACTGGGTCTTGTGAAGCTGAGATTACATTGCATCTTGATTACCTGTGATCCTCTGTATCCTATTTCATGTATGTTCAGTATTAAATTCTATGTATACGAATCTTTCATGATTAAACACTATTAAGTTTGATGATCTACATTTATACATCTATATATTTGTTCAAGCATCCAGTTTACCAACTTTCCTACGTGTTCCACGAGTTTTCCCCGAGTCTCTTAGTTTTTAAGAAAGCGTTTCCTCTTGTTAGAAGAGGAACATCCACGGCATAGGAAAGATGTAAATGTATGTTAATCGCGGGAAACTTTGTACTCTTCTGAAAAATGGAGTTTCACTGTTCTTCGGCTGAAATTCAAAAGTTGAAACTTTTATCTTTCCCAGTAATCACTGTTGCTGTAACAATTTCTTCGTATGCTTCAATGATATCTTCATTCCTTAATTTTCTTTGTTTAACACTAGAACTACCAAAAAGGTAAAAATGACTGGTTTCCAGTCTCTTATTTTAAATTATAAATTTTATCGAGGGATTTTTGGTTAAATGTAAGTTGGTTGTTATCGAGCTAAATAATGAATGTATTATATTAAATCGTGTTTCATCCTTTATCTGTTCAGTAATCTACATTATCTTCAACTTAAAAATAAGTGTACATCAAACGTCGGTAGTTCTAATATTAATACAAGTGTGTACAGGTTACAGAAATGGAGAGAATCGTTCATTTTATTTATACGAAGTTTTTCTTTAAGGGAATGAAATAAAAGGAAAATAATGTCTATAAAAATTTGAGTGGTACTAAATCATGATTGGACAATTTCGTTGCGACTCAAATGGTCTTCCAGAGGTTTCAAAAAGAATCCAGACAGCCAGCAACAATGGCTTCACAGCCTTTCCATCGTAATCAATTACATCTTGTGCCATTAATTGAGCTTTGTCCAGTGTCCGGAACCGAGTCCAGCGAAATTCCCCTTTTCTTCATTTCACCGAGTTGAGTAGCACGTCGAATGGTACTTGCGTGTCCGTAAAAGCCGTTTCCGGGGCTGCAATAAAAATGGAACAAAGCCAAAGAAGCGGCACTCTCTTTCCCTCTTATCGTTTCCTCTGAGTCTTCCACGATGCCAACTGGAGGACGCAAAAGTGCAAGGTTGGTCTAATTGAGCGGGGACTCGATTACCAGTCAGAGTTACCCCCCTCCGTCCCTCTGTGTTTCTCTAGGCGACACACGTACCACAGAGACCACCGGAAGCTGACTGGGTTGTCCAGTAGCGTGCCAAGCAAAAGGAAACCAACGACCTACCCGTGGTTTTACTCTTAAGTCGATTACACCCTTCTTCTTTTTTCCCCCCCCTCTTTTACCTTTCGTACTACTTTACCCTCTGGCTTGGAGAAATATTGTTGGAGAGGGGTAGGTTAAAAATTTTTTCGTCGCCTTCGCTCTGTTGTACGTGATCCAATAACGATCGATGGTTTTATCGGATCCAAGGACAACAGAGAAGGAATTGGAAGGGAACGATAACGGTTTTGATCGCGATGGAACGGTGAACGTGTTGCACGGAATAAAAAGGAGAACCTGATGAGATGTATCTTGAAAGATTGATGACCCCCCAATCGGTGCTTTATGAGATAACCTGAGATATTTTGTGTTTAAGGAGTATTTATGATTCGGTTATTTTCTTAATATGACAAATGGGACGATTATATTATTATAGGAATTTAAAGATTATTAAAATATTATAAAATGCTTTCTGAAAGATTCCTTTAATTAAATGGTAACTCATTTCTTGAAATTTATTTTTAAAAAATATATCAATGTTAGAAGTATGAAACTTTCATATTGGAAGTATCAGAAGGTTAACGGGAACCGACCTTAATAATCAACCTTCTAAATCACGATAGTTTAATTTCCGTTCGGTAATAACGTTCCAGGCGCGTTTTCGTGGCAGTAGCCCGTTATAAAAAATGAAACTGGCCGAATAGCAGTTCGGAAAGTAGTTGAGAACTTAGGAAAGTAATTTCATCCTAGAAAGTGTATAAACTTGGAGATACATCTTTTTTGGTATATGTTTTTCAGACGATCGCCAGCGAGCTTCCATGAAGACACCGTATCTCAGCGACCATGAAGACTGATTGCCTGCCAATAATTGCCAAGTTCTGGGCATTGCTGACGCTGTTCGGGCCAACTCGTGATGTTCGAGCACTCGATATACGTGAGTTGATTTTAGTTTTACATTTTCCTTCGTTAATTTGTTTCCGACGTTAAAATGCTCCGCTGATGCGTTTCACCGGTAATTACGTACACGCCATCACAATTATTAATTACGCGAATTACACACGCGAAATCTCATGCATGACGCTTTTGTTTTATTCAGATTTCAATCATTTCGCGAGATACCGTATACGTATATATAGTTCACGAATTTTAATAGACCATGAATATGAAAGTGACCGTGTGCAGTTGATACAAATTTCATTTTAAACGACACGCTTCTACTCGCGCGTTCGCGATATAGCGAGATATATTATCTTTGACAATATCTATTAAGGGTCGTGATATTCGATACCGAATTCAATTATTACGCCAGATTTGCCTGCTTCTGTCTCACACTCATTTTGATACCTCCTACTAAATCAACCTCGATCAATCGTAAAATGTTTGGTAATATTCGATGATTCATAATGAAAATTTTTTTTTTGACAAATTTCATGAAGCTTCTGCAATGCAGCGTACAAAGTGGATTAATTAAAGTGGCGTGAAAGCAATTTTGTTTCACACGACAGATAACGATTTAATTATTTTTTAATTAAATAAAATGAGAGGATTAATTATATGCAGTGCACTGATTACTCAATTAATATTTTTATTAACATCGCCGATGCAATCTAAATCTTTCTCCACGTTGTACGAAAAGGAAACTTATTCTCCAGGTAGAAGCCGTTCGAAAGCTTCTCTGGTTTCTCGTCTTCTTTTCTTTTCGAGCCGTCAAATTTTTCATTGGGAGCAGGTGATCTCCGAGTTTTTATTTTCTTCCGACCAGCTTGGCCAATGGCGTAGTCATCAGTCTCAAGTAATGACTCGCTATTCCGCGTCTGCCCGAGGGATCAATTATTTTGAATCTAATGCGACAGGATAAATTGCATCCCGCGGAAGCCTCGTCGTACCATCCCCTCCCCTTTGAAATTTGCTGCACCACGGTGCACTCGATGGCCAAGAGAGGGTTGGAGACGATTTTCCGCCGGGAGGCAGAGCCTCGTCTTCGGAAAACAACCTCCTCGTTACTAGGTTTCTACATCCCACCCCCCGTCACTCGACAAATTGCCAATAAGCAAGTTCCATCGATTGCTATGTCGAAGGTTCTATGTATATTAAACGTTCCTGCCGCTAGGAAACGAAGTAACCCTGCTAGGAAATATTCTTGAAGGTTTTTCAAAGAAAAGTCGAAGGAAAATAATTTCCACGTTTTTTATATTGTTCAGACATTTTTAACACGTTGGGAATAATTAATTTTCAATTTTCTATCTGGGCTTTTACATTACGTTACAAATGCATCTGATACCAAATTAGGGATCCGTTTACGGCCACGTCCCTTTTTGGAAATTTGTACCCCTCCAAATTATCATAAATTTCAGTAAGAAATCAATATCACTAATGTTTATCACTAATCCTTTCGCAAACGAACTCGTCTAACAAACCCGAATTACCTATCTCAGTGGTTGAAATCGTGGTCGAAGCTGAACTCCGCCACTGTCACCGAAAGAAATCTTCCAAGATTATCCAGGAAAACGTTTATTCTCGACAGACGATTACCGATTTAGAAGACTTTGCGGTTTGCCATGAATCGTGGAAACTACTTAGGAACTTTCCAACATTATCGATGTTTCCACAATGGCGCAATAAAGAAACCTACCATCTTAACGTCTCTGCTTCTCGTCGCATACCAGAGATACAGTTTACCATCGATCGAGGAAATTTCGTGTACCTTTACTCGAATCTTCGAAACTTTCTTTCTTTATCCTCCGTTTATAAAGTAGACTTTATACGTGCTCGGAACTCCTGATGTATTCAAGAGAATGGAGAAGAAGAAGAAAAAAAAATGGGAAAAGAAGAAATTTTTCGACCTCAAGGCGAAGGGCCTTTCGTCGTACTGAGGGATTGACTCGATTACACGAACGTCGGAACGCAATTTTGTTGGAAAGAAAGGAATTAACGGTGGAGGGAAACAGGATCGATAGAGCCGGGAAAATGGGAAGCACACCTGGAATGGTTGCTTAAAAATTTTACAAGCTTTCTGCTCTACGGACTGGTTACTACTTTTGCTTCGTACATATGTTAGTGATTTCACTAATATATTAAATTTCATGTGTTTAAGAAGTGAACGGTTATTTAGTCCCTTGAATATTATACCTGATCTCTGAAAATGAAATTCACAGTGATACGAATTTTTCACCTCTGATGCATTATGAGAAATGCAGCTGAAATGATATATATACGATGTAGTTGTTTAAAGGGTAATTACACAATCCATTGTACGTTAATTATAGAAATTCCATGCTTTTGAGATATACGTTATTTATGAAATTCTCCAGAATTGTAACCTTTTTATTCAATATATGTTTATAATGAAGTATGTTTTGAAATGGGTCAATGAGAAAGTTACTTTGTTGGTTATGTGAAATTTCCTGGCAAGCTTAATTAACGTACAAATTATATTGAATTTTGTATTAGTTCTTCTTTCGTTAATTCCATAGTTTGAATAATTGCTATGCACAATTCTCTCAGTTCATGTACCATAGAAAAATTTTAATATAAAATTTCTGAATTTTTATTGCTAGCCTAATTTTAATAACATATAGAATTTTTAATTTATATTAAAAAAGATTCTCCAAAAGCATATCTTGACGTAAAACCTAAATATTATAATCGTCGTAGAATAATTGCTCGGAAGACTAAACGTCGCTTATGTTTATGAATGAAAGATCAAGAGAAACGGAACAAAACTCATGTCGGTCGAGTCGAAGAAAGTTTCTCAACAGTGAAACAAAAAGGGCCAGGCGTTTCAAAGAACGCTCGAAAGAATTTTCTTTTGTCGTGCAGTGGAAACGTACGTCGCCTATTATATACAATGCGTTCCCTCGAAAAGCGGCAACCTTCTCAAAGAACAATTGCTTTTCACGTAACGATATACAATATTTCTTTGACCAACCAACAGCGACACGACCTCTAGTCTGATTTGTCTGTTTAATTTCAAGTAAAGCAAAGAAACGATTACAGAAGAGAAAACGTGAAAATTCAACGCGGGATTGTCCAAGTATTTCTTCAAAGTCCGCGTTATCCCATTTTCGAGCTCGTAAACAGCAACACGTATGCATTGCCGAGCACCCACTTCGTCAGCCCGGAATCGTGTACTTGACAAACCGAGGAACCATCCCGCTGTTCCAGCTTCCGAACACCAAACTCGTTCAAACGGTAATTCACGAGTCGCCATTCACCGAGAACAATCAGTTGAACAAAGATTTGTTCAGCAGGAAATTATTCTCGCGAATATACGTCGATTTCTAAGCGAACCGATTATCTCTACTCGCTAAACATACCTTCCTCGTTCTCAACAGGACACGAAATTACTAAGCTGTTATCATTATTGCATGCCGTTAAAACGGACAGTTGATTATATTATATTCGAATATTTTAACCCAAACACCTCGAACGAATGTTTAAAGATGAACACGATTACTACGGCTGTTTGCACGTGGAGAATACTCGATTCAAGTTGGATACAGGAACGAATTGGAAAACAGAGGAAAAGCGACGAAGGACGCAACGAGAAGAGGATGTCAGAGATGGTCTCTAACGGAGGTAGGGTTAAAGGAAAAGGTCGTCGAGGATGGAGGGTTGGGGAGGAGTTCACAGCGGACAAGTATTGTCGCAAGCTTTCGTAGGGCGGCGAGCAGTTCTGCTCGAAGCTTCCGTTTCCCTCGTTATGGTAAATGGTCTGTCTTGGTGGTTGGGTAAACAGTCGCACAAAAGATAAGTGCAAGCAAGGGACGCACTTGGCTACTATCCTTGAGACGGTCGTCGAGGACCTTCGGTCTTTCTCTTTGTTTCGACCAGCCGCTTTTACTCTTTATCCTGACCTTTCCACAGGCCACGCACAACTTGGATGATCTTCCGAAAGGTGTCCAGCCGGCTACGTGACGACTGTTGAAACATGCATAAGGACGACCATTGTTACCCCGGGAAATGATTACTTTGTTCACGCACTCGCGAACCAGACGGATCGGTATCGTCGCGTTAACTGATTTCAATGACAATAGGCTAGATAGGTGATTAATGTATCATATTTGAGCTCACGAGACTGAATAGCAGGCGCGAGACGAGAATATAGAAGCCTGTGTGCACGGGATTTAACGCGCGGATCAAACAGTTCGCGTTTTAATCCTTAAACTAGCAGTCATCATCACGTTACCGATTTACCGTACTGTTGCGTTTCAAAAGCCGATTTCCAGTGCGATGAAATAAAGGAAAGAGTAATTTTTTACGCTTCCCTTTGATGAGAAATTGCTGGTAATTAAAAGGATTCGAGTGGAATTTTCTTTTTTGGAAACTACCTGTTCAACGTAATCGATCGTCGATAAATTGCGAAAATGAAATGAGTTTGAAACAACTGAAATATTTAAAGAAAATGAATTTTTCTATTGTTCAATTTAAAGTTTCTTAGAAGATTATACAACAAAGAGTTACATATAACAGAAAGATTGGTACTAACACAAAAATTCCGAAGTTAAAGTTATGAAATTTTTATGTCGAAACAGTATTATATTCTCTAATAATTCTCATGCAAGCAATTCATATCTCTCCAGGAGTTACCGTGGTACCACCTGAAACTGCAATCCGACCCAGTATATTTCACTTTGAAATTCCTAATAAAATCGTATAAATAAATCATAAAGTTGCTCGTAAATATTTTATGAAAACACTTTATTACGGGATAGCCCCGGAACGAGGATCGCGTAAAGCTTCTTCGGTAAGGGAACTTGACAAAAAGCTTTTATTATTCTGAACGTCTATTCGCATACGCGTGGGTCCGTTCCATGCTGATCTATAGCTTTTCTTCGGGGTAGAGACGAAGAGTTGCCGTAAGTCGAGCAGAGACGTTTAACAACATTAAAACTTTCTGTAACTGGGGCAAATTGGTCAGGCAGGAAGATTTCT